GGCAACTTCACCCAGATGTTTCGTCAATTCGGCCGAATACATGCCCGTGGAACCGGTCAAGTTCGCAAGACTACTCGAACTACACAAAGACCAGCCAGACAACGCAAAATCAGACTTTCAACTCACATACACTATGACGAACTTTGGCCTGCAGATACAACTGCCCATCTATCGAATATCCGAAAACCTCCTTGATGACTATCATATTGCCGTTCTAGCGTGCAGGCACGGCCGCGCTCAGTATCCGACCGTGTTGTTTCTACGCCGGAATCACACTCACCCCGACGACCACTTTTACCGGACTACATTCAATGGCTTCACCACATTCTATAGTCCCCAGGTCGCCGAGTTGGTGTCGAGGGGCGCTTCAGCGCGTTGGCTCTGGATATCTACCCCCAGACTTCAACGCGGGCCTCAGATGCCATCTCCGACAGTCCAGCCCTATGTAACAAGGCTGCACTGCCATTTCGAAAGTAACAGACCCGGTCGCTGGCCCGCACTCACGCATTCCTTTGCGAAGTCCTCTGACCATCGCATCGAGTGGACCGCTTCTCAAAGTGTTGTTTTCGATCTGGAGCAAGGTGAGCACGCCGTCGTGGGGGCTATGTGTGTCCCTAAGTATAGAATTGAGGCCGTCCAACACTACATCATCTGTGTCATCGGCTTGCTAAATGGCCGAGCTTGGTATCAGATCCACGGTCCTTTTCATTTGGGCGAGCCACCACCACCTAAGGAAGAATGCGGCCTCATCATCGACAACCACGCCAGCATCTTCCTTCCCTCCTACGACCTCCTCCAGCCATCCAACCTTTGGCACCGCGCTGATTGGACACCAACTATTGTGGATGTCGATGCGCCTAGTCAACAAAGGAAGTTAGAATTAGAGAGTCCCCGCACGGTCGTAAAGGTGAACGAACGTCGCACCGTCAATGGCAGCGGAAAGATCGAAGTTTATCTTCGACTCTGGGTGGAAGAACCTGACCTTTGACGTGGGCGGACATCTACAAATCTATGCTGAACTCGTACGAATAACTTATAAATCCGGACGACAGTCAGTGCTTCCATGTTGTGATCAAGATCAGATTGTCTAGTATGAGGGATGGAACAAATGTCTGGTCTGAAGGGAGCAAGCATCATTTCCGTCTGAGGGCAGCAATGGCCACTGGCAGGCTACACCATCACTATCACAGACGCGCTACGCAACAACTGTTGGATGATCAGCTCGTCTTTCATTACAACGGACGAGGTCTAGACGCTCGCAGGGGATCGCCGACTCAGTCTGACGCCCTCCAGCTCTCTCGACTTTTTCTGCTCCTCCCTGGGCGTAGTAGCCCACCCCGCCGAGAAGGTCAACTCTCCTTTTGATTAGTCCCAAGCTCAACCCTTCGCTGACCATCAAGCTGCAAACACGTTGTGCCCGAGAAATTTGAAGGTCATCCTGATGCTCGCCATATCTTGCTCCCATGGATGATTGCGCCTCTGGACGCTTACCGGCACAACCACACGCAGCCTCGGCAGTGGCTGCAATGATTCGACCAGCACATTACTACCCATTCAGGCCTCATACTGCCTCTGGACTGTCCATCGTACTTCCTCGGTTGCTGCTTGCCGACCATGCCGGGTCAGCAAAGAGTTGGGCCCAATGCATCGATGAGAAGCGTATCTTTCCCGATCGGACTGGAACTTAAATAAAGCCTCCAGCTCACGGAATAGCGGTTCGTCATTGAGATCGATAAATCGTAGAGGTTGATCCACCCAAGCATCCAGGGTTTTCTTCGTCTCTTCCCAGTTATGCTGGTCCTGGGTAGCCCCGCGTGTAGCTTTTCCAGTGCCAGGTCGAGGGATTGCCACCCAGGGTTGTGCGTAGATCTCATGGTCCGTGTTGTCTGTGCCATCATCGGAGATCATATGTCCAGGGACGTGGTTGTGGACTACCGTGATGACGTCATCCGGGAGTTGAGCCAGCGTTTTGTAGATGTTCTTTCCAAGTAGGGCCCACGTTCCACCTTCACAAATCCACTTGAGGTCGGAGAGAGAAATGAAGGCTCCGCTGGGATGGTTCTTCTCAGCCAGACAATCGAGCCACCTGGGGATCTTGCTGACCGGAGCTCCGCTCAACCATAGTAGCGTGGGCAAAGGTGAAACGGGGTGCCGGCGAAACATGCATCGAGGAACAATGTACGAGACTCGATACTTTGGTGTATCTTCATCTTGGTCCAGGATCCCCTTGGGCTCTGGTAGGCGTCGCAGCACAAAGTTCCGTGTCTCCCTGGACACCCCCGCCAGTGATGGCAGCCGCGAACTGTACAGCGCGTAGGTACACCAGGCGGGACTTTCTTGATCGAGCCCTTGGCAGTGGTGGGTAAAAGGATATTGGCGGACCTCTCCATCAGCCGTTGTGATGATTTCCCTGGGCTAACGCGAAGTGTGATACCATGTCACGAAGCTCCTGGGGAAGCAAGTGGAGGGTAAACTTGGGATGCACCGGAGCGTTGAGATTTGTCATTATTGCCCGCTCTTGTGACCAGGCAGGGCATGTAATCCTGGAGGCTGCAGTTTTGGGTCTCTGGGGAGTTGCAGCATCGAGAGAACGACGAGGCCAAAGAAAGAAATCCCTCAAGAGGCAGAGCAAATCGCGGTTATATAAAGCCAAGGTAGGTAATTAGTCAGTCTCATGATCTGTTTCAACCTTTGGGTCGCTAGGGTGGACTCAATTGGCGCGCAGAGAGAGGATGACTTGCCCACAAACCGTCACCCGCCTGCCCCATTATGATGGACTGTTTGCCTCGGTATGTTTGCTACACTGGCTGGTGCAAGGGGGATCAATTCAGAGACATCGAAGGAGTGGGCTACTACTCGCCGTCGACGGCGACATTTGGAAGCAGTCCGAGAGCTTACCTGAAGTTTTGAGGGCGGTCGTCTGGGTCTGTCCATCGTCGTGACACATCCTGTTGAAATCTGGCCCGCACTTCGTGGCCGGCGAAATGACAGGATGTCTTCTGGTGTTGGTCCCGTCTCAACGTCTTCCACCCCCGAGCTCCCAGCGCAGGGAGCTAGAGCTAGCATTGGCGTTGGCGCGTGTGCTGCCGAGTTGCTTTTTGTTGGGCACCTATGAGTCGCTGCTTCCATCTCAAGGGGCGAGAAATCAACCCCGCCCCAAAGACTGCAACGCGTTCCCCCAACCTTGAAGACGGCCTAGAGTGCCGCCAGCAGTTGTCAAGGCGGCTCTGCGTTCAATTCCGACAAAAAAAAAACAGCCACAAAAGCCACAAAAGCCACGGTCGCTGAGATATCGCGGGACCAGCCCGCCGGGTAGCTCGGATCTACAATCGTGCGGGCGCCGCAGGAACACTGCGCAACTCAGGGGTGGCGGGGCGCCGAAAATTGCTGCATTCAGCTCTCGCTAAGGAGCCGTTAGCGCCATGTCAAACGCCTCAAAGGCTCAAACAGTCAAAGTCTGCTCGTGCCAAGACAAACTATTGCACTCGCTTCTCCATTCTTTTCCACTGCTCTAAGCCCAATTGTGGAGGAGGGCGATGCACCAGATTGTTGGTGAGCGTCTTCAAAATGGCCTCGTCGCCTGCTCTTCGCAGTGACTCTGTGTCTCTTGCACCCGTCACTCGTTAAACTAATTTTCCAGGACCGCCGTGTCCGTCCACTCTTTTTTTTTTTTCTTCCCGTCGCGATAATGGCGTCATTTTGGCTCTCGGCCCTTCTCGCCGGCGCTTCGGTGGTTTCGGCCGTTCCCACGGTTGTCACCCTCCCGTCGTCGAGCGTCCCGTCAAGTGTCCCGTCGTCGAGCATCCCACCAGCACCTGCCCCGTCATGCGTGAGGGATGAGCTCCTCAGCTTGCTCAAGGGCAACAAACGCGAGTCGTACCCGTTTTGCCGCGACTTCCTCTCGGCCCACGACGTGTCCGTGTCCACCGTGACCCCCTCGGCGTCGACCTACGTCACCACCGAGATCACCACCGTCACCAACGTGGTGCCCACCACGACTCTCGACGTGTCGACCCTCGTCGAGACGTCGTACTCCACTACGGTTGTCTCAACCGCCACTATCACCGCCCCCGCCTCCACCGTCGCCCCGGTGTTCCGACGCGGCGCCGCCCTGGCCAGCGGTCTCACCGGCTATGACGACGCTGCCATCTCGAGCGCGTGCAACTGCCTGAGCCCACCGCGGTGCCGCGCGCGCAAGTCAACGACGACCCTCGAGCCTTCGGTGTTTGTCTCTGTGGCAACCTCGACCGAGGTTGTCTCGTCCACCGCCGTTGTGACGTCCTTCTCCACCGAGACGTCGGCCACGACCGTCGTCGCGTCCGTCACAACCACCACGGCCGTCGAGCCGCCGGCCCCGACCTCGTCCGTCTTCCGCATCGCGATCATGATCAACGGCGTCAAGCACTACTTCAACAGCATGGAGTTCGGCGGCGGGCAGACCTGGGAGGTTGTCTGGCCCGAGGAGGGCGGCTCCAGTGCCGCCACTTTTACTCTTGACAGCAACGGCCACCTCTCAATGCCCAGCGTCTCGTCGGACGGCGCCGTGTGGCCCGCCATGGGGCCGGGGTGGTTCGAAGGGGGCGGAATAGATGGTCGGTGGTTCATCTTTGACACACTCAACAACTTCAACAACGTGGGGTGGGTCCTCTACAAGGTGGAGGTCGACACCTCGGACAACAACAAGCTGCGCGTGTGGACTCCGGACGACGACGAGGAGTTGACTTTCCAACTGTGCACCCACTCAAGCTCGAAGAAGGCGCTGGGAGTGGCCAAGAATAACCCTAGCTGTGATAACGTAATTGTCAACGCGGAGTTTTTGTTCTAACGAGCAATTCCTTGGGTAGTTGGGGGTATGTAATTTGGGCCACCGGGCCACCTGGCGCGACCATGAACCATAACCCTCAAGTACAAAATAAATATCCATCTCATGATGCGCTTGCCTTTGTTATTGTGGAGTTTTCTGTCCTGCCCCAACAATTCGGGATCATGCGCGACTCAGATCGGGTATGGTGTAGCGGTAACATCGCTGACTCTCAACTATGAGTGCTCAGCAGCCCGGGGTTCGACTCCTTGTATCCGAGATTCTTTTTGATTTCAATGTTCTTTTTCACCATCCAATTTTTTTTGTGCGGCAGGAATAAAACGTACCTAGCTATCCCGTTGTGGCGCCCCCGGTTTGACCCAGCGGAAGCCTTGATCCCACTTCCTGTTACCGGTATGTACATTGTTTGACCGCACAACATGCCCAATCATTGAATCAAAAAGGTCGCTCTCAAGCCCTCCCCCGGATTCATTCCGTCGACTGCTCCCCCCATCATACAACCAGGAAGGTAGGCATCCCCAAGAAATGTGCAGTATCCCTTCTCCTCCCCAAGAATCACCGGCACTGAGCACCCAAATAACACACAGATTTTATCCCCCTGCGCTATCTGGTCAGGCCCCAAGCAATGCCTGACGTGGCTCACCACAGGCGAACCTGAGATACGATAGCAGCACATGGCCCTCCCAAAATGGTTCAGCATGGCCACCATGGCCTGACATTTGTCGGGAATCAAATTCCCCCGTCCAGCCAATCCTTCTTCCACGTTCCACCCGTCAGTCTCAGCACCCGCAGCAAAGGCCTGGACGAACCCTGCTGCGATCGGATCATCATCCAACGACTCCCGTATTCCGAACGCACGGCAAAGCCGAGAAAAGTACTCGTCCACCTCTTCGCCCCGGATGTCTCGCAGCCAAGCAAACATGTCGCTCCTATCTGCGACTTTTGCTGGTTTGAAACCGGGACTGGCAACAACCTCTGCCCTCCCGAGCTCGATCCCTTCCACACGCAGCACCCTGCCTCCCTCTCGAAACTCGCAGGCCCCCTCCTGCCACTTGCCGCCGGCGACGTACGAGTGACCGGTGTACTTGAACCCACTCGCGGCACTCAACGGGGTCGTTGGATCCGCGCACCACTGTGGTGTCCACGACGGGAGGCCCGGCATCGTCCGCGCGTAGCAGTGCTCCGGCAGGATCACGTCCAGGCTCTTGGTTTCTTCCACGACGAGTTGCGCCATGCGCGCCCAGACCAGAGCGGGTGGCGCTGCGTAGTCTATCTGAACGCGCTTGCGCACCTCGGGGGGGAAACATCCGTAATGGCCAAATACTATGTCGCGCGGGTTGGTCGCCTTTTTGTGCTGGATCGTTTTGACCCAGGTGGCGAGGGGGATATATTGGGAGCCGGCAAGGGCAGAGCTCCGGGGGGAGGGCAGGACGCTTGGGCCGAACGTCGTCATGAAGGAGGTGAGTTCCGCGAGGCGAAGGGTGTCGCGTTGAGTTTCCGCGCCCGGAGCAAGCGATTTGAGGTGTGCCGCCAGGCGCGTCCAGACGGCGGTGAAGGCTGGGTACGGCATTTTGTGGGAACGGTGCACGAGTGTGACGTCCCGGGAATGCATGACTTCCTGCGTCACCCAGACGCGCTGCCAGTAGCTGAGGCCGCCAACGTGCGTGATGGCGCGATGCAGCCAGGCTGAGAGGGAGAGGCGATCGACGAGGCGGGGATTGGAGTGCAGGAGGGAAAAGAGACGGAGAACGAGGGCGACGGCTTCGTCGCTGCTGGGATCGAGACAGATCATTGTCTTTGCCGCGTCGGAGTAGATGTCTCGCATGATGGCGACTTGTTGGCTGCGCTCCGTCATGTCGGTTTGGTTGACGCAGAGGGCGTCTATCCACAGAGTGACGGGCCGTTCGCGGTCGCGGAGCTGGTGAAGGCAGGATTGTAGGTTTTGCGTGATGAGCATTGCTTCGTTGTCGAGGTGAAGCCATCGTGGGTTGGCTTGGCTGCCCCTTTTTTTTTTTTTTGAGGTGAAAAAGTCAGAGATTGCTTGATTCGTTCTTTAGAGGGGTGAAAAAAAAAATCGACTTACAAACGTATGACAGGGCAGTATAGGGAGGGGCCGATTGTCGCAGGACATTGAAAGTTGAACACATCAGTGGCTCGCCATAGTTCCCAGGCCGAAGCTGGATCAACCGGATCTCATCGTGCTTCAGGGGTGAGTAAATCGAGGACGCGGACTTGGCGTTTAGGAGTTCGAGAGGTGTATACGGCTCCTCGACGATTGGCGGAGGTGTTTCGAACTTTTGATAGTAGTGTATTAACTTGGCCACAACCTCGTTGAGCTCCTTGATGGCTTTCTCGTCATGCTCTCCCGCACTGTCGGCTCCCTCGACCGGTTGTTGCAACTGGGGGCGGATGAGGCGTGGAATGATCACGCTCAGCAAAAAGATGGCGACAATGCTGGAGATTAAGGTCAAAACGGTCCACATGATGGGCCTCAGACTAAAAAATCAGCTCCTGGTGGCAATTCAATAGTTTTGATCTTGGTTCGCGTCTCGACTGAACCCAGCCAGTTGTTTGAGGGGTTTTTAGATTGTGAAACCCTGGACCGGCTTCAAAGCGCCATCGCCGATCTAGCTAGGCACACGGGCTGAGCTTCACGCAAGATCACGTGGTAAAGGATGATGATAAAGATGGTGTGATGACATCGGTTGTCATTGGGCTGGCTGGAAGAATGAATGCCCCGCACCAATCCCCGACAGCTACCAACATTTGAGAGGATGTCTGGCCGCCCGAAGCCTGCAGAACGCGTATCAGGGCGCATGCCACGATGTACTTACTGGACCAATGCGATTGCGGACCAGCTGGAGAAGTTTGGGCGTTGTTGGTGAATTCGATTACGGCCAGTTCTTCAGCCTCGCCACAGTCCGGCAAGAACCCCCTTAAACAAGACTCAACAACTGCCAGTCGATACGCGTGCCTCGAGAAAAAGCCTCGCCGTGCATCAGACCGTGGAGGTAGCAATCACCAAGCAATCACCTTCCCGTGCCTCGTCTGGAACCATGCCCAGGTATCCACGCTCGGTGGTGCAGAGTCTCCGATACAAGTTGGCAGAGTGGAGAGTGGCGTCACGGAACTGATAGCCGAGCACGCCCTGGTTATTGTGAACAGAGAGAGGGCCTCGAAGCGATTTGAATACGCTCGCATCCGGTGGGATGTCATCTTGTTTGTGGACTTTGGTGGAAAGCTTAGCAGCCCGTTTGTGCCTGATGTAAGGTAATTACGTATGAGCCTCTTGTTTTGCGCGCCTGGCCCTTTCCATACGTGCCAGGTAGAGCCACAGTTGAAGTTTAGGAGTGAGATGCTGGATGCGAAAGACCTGGTCCCTGCTGTCGGTGCAGTCCAGTTCTCGACAGCCTTGGAGAAGCATCAGCATTGGTAACCCACCCGGTGCTGTCTGCATTTTCCGAAATTCAGATCGCATAAAAGCCATCTGGTTTAGTCTGTCAGAAATAATGCACTGCTTATTGAGGGCTACAACGTGATTGTTTTGGACCTCAAGACAGAACCCGGCATGAACACCGGACCGGCGAGGTCTCGCTGAAGTGAACACCGAAACCAACAGGGCAAGGGGCGGTCAGTGGCGTCAGGATCAAAGCCGAGAAGAGGGTGATCATATGTCAAGGCTGTAGAGCCATCGGTGCCGTGGAAAAAGCATTTCGGCAGGGGTATGGAGATCAAGGAACGCTGCGCCTCCGCGTTTACGCCCCTCGGTACCATCATTGATGGAAGGTAACGACGCACGGCGAGCTGCGCTTCCATGCACACCCTGGGTAGCGTCAGGGGTGGCGGCGATGTCAGCGAGGGCGGCAATGCACCGTAGAAATAACAGGGGTACATGTGATAGAGTTGACGACAGAGATGGCAGAAGAAGTGATCCGCTGGGCCGTGTGCCTCGCCATTAAAATCTTCAGAGAGGGAATGCTCGGGAAGTTGATCCCTTGTGGAACATCTACATGGGAATGCCCCGAGAATCTCGTCGGCCAACGCAAGCTCCCAGATCATGTCACGGACTTCTCGAGGGAGCGAGCGAAAGAGGACAAAGGAGGCCCTGGGCCTCTGACTGTTCATGGCTGTGGCTTCCCTAGGTGGGAGGGTCTATAGGACGAAGATGGATAGTAGATCACGGCGAGTGGGTTGCAGCCTTTATATATCCGTATACATTGTATCAAATATTTCGTTTACTGAGAGTCATAGACGAGGAGTAGATACGGGCCACGTCGTTTGGGTCAGTGATGACAGCAAACACGAAAGCATAACGTCCGCAGGGATGACTGAATGAAAGGTAGGACGGTCACACTGAGACTGTTAGTTGCCTTGGTGACAACATATTTGCACTATAATAATGTTGTTTGATAAACCCAAAATGTGTATCCGACTGGAAGATGCCCGTATTTCTAGCAGAATATCCCTTTGGATTTATCATTGTATGGTTTATTATCTCTGGGACCTGGACATGTACATCATATCTGCTTATTTCCATCTCACCGAAACTCCTTTCCAACCCCAATTGACGTCTTACAGTAGCTGCAATTCATGCCGAAACCTACATCTCTACGCGCAGTGTGTGCCGAAAGTAGTTAGTGAAGTTGTCGATCCGAGCCTGTTGCAAACCACGTACGAAACTGGCGCTCCACACGCTCAAAGTTCCGTTTTCGTTGTTGGGTGGAAAGGAAATGGCAATAGTGTGCCGGATTCGCCTTGGCGTGTTCACAGGCAACATCAGCTCCAACCGCCGTCCACAATTCGCGGAAGACGCTCTCGTCCTTGACGTCGACAAGTCGGGTCTTCCCCATCCAGCGCTCGAGTCCCGTGTGCAGCGCCTGGCCGTGCTTGCCGGTCTTATTGCCGTAGTTGCGCGAACTGATGCAGCGGAAGGGCTATCAGCCACGATCGTGAGGGCGTACTCTGGAAGTTGAAGCAGTTCGTCGAGAACAGCTTGCTAGCAACTGTTGGATCTTGAAAGGTTCGACGCCTGGATGCACACAAAGGGACCACTCATTTGTTGGAGGACGGAGCTGAGTGGTAGCATGGCACGTAAATTCTGTGGTTCGCGGCGCTCGCTGGCACCGGGAGAAACGTATCTAGGCAGACGAAGGACGGTTCTATCCCTGTGAGAATCTGAAAGAAGAGAAGGCACTCGGAGGCGATAGCGTACAAACTCGCGGGTCTCATGGCAGAGATGTGATAACGAGGAAAGGGGCA